CGTCTCCCCTCTCTCCGCATCGCCTGGCCCACATGTCCAATCCTAAACGTATTACCTGGCAGCGGTTTCGCACACACACACACACACACACACACTGTGCAGCTGAATGTGTATGGTTTTGCTTGAGCACGGTTTATCCTTCTGTGTGTGCTCTTTCTCTGTCTGTTTGTTCAGTGTCCAGGCCTGTGGATGCTTGGCTGTGCGATGGAGATGATCCTCCATTGGCCGCTCAGAACTGCTCAGTTCCTTGCCAGCATCAGTGCTCGCTGTCCCAGTGGTCGCCCTGGAGTGCCTGCCTTCATGAAAACTGCAAAGAACCTCAAGGGAAGAAAGGTATGTTAAAAAATAACAAAGCATGACATGGAAACAAACAAGCCTTTGCTTTTCAAAAGTTTGGGGGAAAAAGATTGAAATTGAACAGATAATGGCATTTTAATGATTTTTACATAAGATGTATGTGGGAGTTGTTTGTGTCGGCATTACCAGCTGTAATATTTGCCAAGCATTTCTTTCAAAGGAATAGTTAAAATTCAACTCCATGAGGACAAAAAACATGCACTTCACACAGAATCCATTAAAAAACAACAATGCATGTTTATAAGTTTGCAAAAGTATTTTCTAATTGTCAGATCTGATATTTAAAAGGCACAAATCAACCTAAACATTTTCTGATTTAGGTTAGGTGAAATTACCAAAATGATTTACACTTTTTAAAATGCCAAAATAACAAAAATAAGAATTTTGAGAATTTTAAAAACTTTCTTCTATGTCAGACTCTCAAATTTACTATGTTTCCTTGATGTTTGGTTGAGTGGCATTTAAAATGTACTTCAGGAAAAGTTTTAAGATATCCTAATTCTGTTACATTTTATGAATTGAACAACAAAAATATTAAACTTTTTCAAGACATTGTTTCCTTTGTACCTGTAAGTAAAATATAACGTATGATTTTTTTCTGGGCTCAATAAATGTGCTGAAATTAAAGGTTGGATTTTTCAGAAATTTTCAGTCTAAGACAAAGACACTGCAGTAACGGATGGAATTGTTTTAAAATAATTAAAATATTGGGAGTGGAGAGGCAAATACTTATTGAGTACGCTGTATTTGTTTTACATGATCTTATTCTGTTCAAGAAGAGATCATTGTCCATTCGATGCCTTGGTTGTCAGCACCAGTACGTCTTCATGTTCTGGGATTTTATTCGGGAATTTTGTTTCTCTCATCTTAGATTTTCCATTTGGTTTTTCCCATTGTCAGTCTTCTACTTCCACCAAAGGTCTTTTGTTATTTTCTGTCTTTCTTTTCACCACCTGCTACCCTGTTTCCAAAAGTACATCTGCAATTTGTTTTTTTGCCGGCCTCAGTAACACTTAATGTCCAATTTGTTCCACTTTTTATTACATATCTTTTATTCAGTGGTCTCCTCTGTCCAGCTTTCTAACTTGGTGCGGAGATGTTTCCAACGCTGATTCTGCAAATGTGTGTTCAGCTTTGCAGCCACCACACGTACCTGGTTCTTTCTTTTTAGTTTAGCATTGCTCATTAGAAACTTCCCATCCAAAAACACTGAACAAGAAGATGCGTTCTGACACAAACACCTGTAACTCAACATGACACTTACTCAATGGCCAGCAAGTCACATGGAGAGAGTTGTCAATATAAATAAGAACAGAAAGACAGGCAGAGAAGTTTTAATTAATCTGTGTGATGTAACACACTCTGGTTAGAGTCAATATAAAATACCACAATCATTCTGAGGCAAATGCTTAAAATGAATCCAACCACAGAGCAAGTAAACATATATTAACTATGGGAAATGTAATTTTAAGCAAATGCCTTGTCAGTGTTATTTCCTTGATAATTACAAGCTGCAGTTTGTAACTTTTATAAACAATATGTTTTTGTATGTGTTCCAGTTTTATTTACTTTAAAGATATTTTTAGGGATATCATTAATTGTGCAAGTGAGTCTTTTTTGTAACTTGTTTCTTAACATCCATTTTTCCCAACCACATGAATATACCCAATAACCATATATATACATTTTTATTATTTTTCAGTGTACAACTATGCTACTTCATTAAAGTTTAGCGCTTTGTTTTAAAACGCTGGGTCTCCTTTTTTTTTTTTGTTTTTGTTTTTAGAAACATGTTGAACAAAAAGCAGATAGAGAAAGTTTGGCAAAACACCAAAAGACATACATACAGCTACAACATCCCCTAAAATCTGAATCTTTATTTGAACAGATGTGCATGAGGTGAAAATCCTAAGTATCTCAGTGAGCAACAATTAACTCTGTGTTGCATTGTAGACAGTGTATGTAAAATTAATACAAACTGTTGCCTAAGCACTTCCAGTATGATCAACATGGGACTGCACAACCCTGAAAGCTGTTACTCATGTGCGATTTATTTTCTTTTTCTGATTTGTTTGCCAGTGCTGCACTAGTCAGATAGGGGAATATTTTGTCTGACATAGGTCATGAGTTAGAATTTTAACCGAATGGACCGGACAGAAAAAGGTGCAGAGGAACCTCTGAGTCAGAATTATAAACATATTTCAGCCGGAGGACAAAATAAGTCTGTTGGGATGTGGCACAACATGCAGTGTCTTACAAAAACAGTTGTACCACTTGAATCTTCTCACATTTTTTTTTCCAGGTTATAACCACAGATTCCAGTGTAAATAAATAAGAATAAAGTTTATGGTGATATTTATTCAGCTCACTTTAATCTGTCACCCTTTAAATTCAATTGCAACTGGTAGCAACAGAAGTTACATTTAAATCACCCCTACATCACCTTTGGGTAATTTACCCCCCAGTATGACTACAGCTATCCTGTGAAGGCCTCAGAGATGTGTCCATGAGTTTTTGTAAACAAGCATGAAGACCAAGAAACACCTGGGAGACTAAAAGGTGCTCACTCAGGAATGAAATTGTGGAGAAATGTAGAGCGAGTTTTAGTTGTAAAACTGTGAGACATGCCCTGCCCAAGCTAACCTGTAGAGGCTGCAGCAAATATGTGGAAGAAGGTGGTTTAGTTTTTGTTCCAAAGGAACAAAAATAATATTTATAATGCATAAAATCCCCATTTAATGTGAAAAACTGTGGAAAAACCAAGGGATATGAATGTTTTCGTAGATCAACCACTGAAGCGATGAAAAACAATGAGACCACTCAGTCTACCTGTCTTTTCACACCACAGGTGAATCATGTCGGATCTGACTGCTCTGAAAGGCAGCGTGTGTGGAGTGAAGCGCGTTTGAGCCGTTATTGTGTTAGGGCTGTGTTAAAAGGGCATCATGACCTCGTCGCCGCGGTGAGTAAATGCGCATGAAAGCCCCCCTGGGGAGCGGCGGCAGTGCAGATCGTTCAGGTCAGCGTCGGTTCTCTCAAAACACCGGATCTCTTTCCGGATGAGCCGGGTCCTCACACACACACGGCGTCATTAATATATTTGGAGGAGCGAGAAACGAAAGCGTCTGCCGTTTTGTCGGGGCCTCTCCTGAGGCAAGCCGTCTTTAAATGGTGTTTATAAAGACTCAGAGCACACGGCAGGCAGCGTGCAAAGCAATAGAGTCGTTCACGGTGAGCAGTGCTGCCCGCGATACATTGAGCAGATATTGAGTAGTTGTATTGTGATCCATTTGCTTGTTGCCCTGGAGCTTCTAAGAATTTCCTGCTCTGACTGGACTGCCTTTATGCTTTAGAGTAAACTGATCCGTCTCTAACCGAAAGTCCCGTTATATCCCTGTTTCTGGGTATGGGAGCCAAGCAGCTTTGCTCATGGGGAAATTGCAAATTTAGATTGTCTTGCTGTAGCTTCACGTCTTTTCATGTTATCTTGGCCTATCGTATTTGCAGCTGTACAGGGAAATCAATTGAACACGGGGGGCTACTGGATGAATTTTCAGCAATGTCTCTACCGGAACTTGGACAGCTGGAGGGAAGGTATATTTCTTAAACAGAGTGTATTAAGAAAAAAAAAAAAAAAGAAATCACACTTTCGGTCCTTGTTTTCCTGAAATAAACTTGGTATGTCCAAGAAACCTTTTAATTATTAATGTCCTAGCCAAATCGTTTCTTGTGGCTTGGATCCGAGTAGCGGTAAGTGCTCTGGGCTATTCTGCAATCGATCCACAGTGTCTTTGGTGTTGGAGAGGCAGCTGCGCTCAGATCAGGCTGCTAAACCCAAGCTTCACTCCAGTAGATGGTAGACAGATGTCTGTAATTTGCAGACTAGGATTCTAAGGGTTAAAAAGGTGCAACCCTCAAAATAAAATAATTTGGGGCCCTTCAACTGGTAGCTGGAGTCAGAGTGAAATAAAATGAGTACGTCTCGAAAAGACATACTCATGTCTGCTGCTCAAGTGTCACTGAGGGAGAGACTGGGGTTTAGAAATAACTATTTCATCTGTCAGCTTTTTGCCAGCAAGAACATTGTACCGTCGTCAGGGAATTGGAAAAGCTTAGAAGTCAATTCAAACTATAAATGTGAACATGTCCAATCAATAGAGACCTTTTCATGGAAAAGTTAATATTTTATGAACAATCCATCTTTAGGAAAATCAATGTTGTAGAGTGAGCAGTATGAATGGCATCACGGGACACTAAGGTGATGTGGATGACTAGGTAAGTGGCGTAAAGATAATGACTCGACGTGTTCGTGTCGTTCAATAATTTTTATGGCGTTTTATTGTTTGGCCCGTCTTTATGACGTGCTTGCCATTCTTCGAGCCAAATTTTTCCTCATTCATATTTAACAGATTTTCTCTCTGAGGTTTTATGGTGATACGACAGCTGTTAGGTGGCAGAACTAAGAATCGCAGGAAAAAAAATATTGCTGAAGTAATTTGTTGATAAGATTGTGACACCTGTGACAACCTGTCACAGGCGTAGCTGTCACTGACAGCTGTGTTAACCACACAAAAACATAAACGTGATCTGGATCTCAACGGCACTGTCAAAGTCTGGCAACTTAATATTGATGTAATTAGTGGATCACAAAGGTTTTCATACCTTTTGAATTTTCCTCACATTTGATTGTGCTACTGCCATACACTTCAAAACATTTATTGGGTTTTTACTATGATAGAAAACAAATAAAAAGCAGGTCATGAATGCTAGTTGGAAGAAAAATATAAAATGTTTTCATTAAAAGTTTTTCACAAATGCAAATCTGAAAAGTGTGGTGTGCAGTTTTTTAGTTCCCTTTACTCTCATATTGCATTATTGATTTCATCAAAACCTATCCCCTTCAGATGTTGCCTTGCTAGCCAATAGGCTCCTTGTGTGTATATTATTATCAACATGAATTAAACTGCTCTCTGAATGCCTCAGACGTGTTTTACTGAACATTTGTGAACAAACAGCATCATGAAGCCTAAAACGCGGAGCAGCCAGGGATGAAGGATCATTTGTGATTTGTAAACATTAAAGAAAATGTTCAAGGCGTTTGTATACCTCTTGGTAATAGACGGTTGACCAAATTGAGACATTTTCTTTCATCCATTACTTTGCTGATTTGGCTCTGACATATAATTAGATGTTAATTTACATGGACTCATCGCCTCCTCTGGTGTTAAGCTTCCTGCACATTGGGATCCATCACCAAATTTCTTGGAATAAGTGGATGATATGGCTAGTAGTTTAAATAATCTATATCCATAACACATTTATTTTTAACTTAAAACATTTTACATTAGTGATTAAACGATCTGCTCTTGTTGGATCTTAGGGGAAGGAACTCTGTGTTTGCAGAGGTGTCGTCCCTTACTAACTATGTGTTTCATCAATAAGACGAGAGACGCATCAATGTTATGACAGTGTAGTACTTGTTTCAACCACCGGTTACGTTCAGGAAGCTGCAGTCTGTCCTGTTTCTTCAGAGCAAAGGTTTTAGTTGGAACTGCTCCTCATGCTGCTCCAACATGCAGTTCAACTCATTGGAGGATTCTTTGGTTTAATTCATAGGTTTGGTTTTAATTCAGTAAATTTCATGAACCCATTAGCTGTTAGACCAAAATGTACAAGAATATGCTATAGATATTGTATATTTTTATGGAAAATGTCACCTGTACTGCTTAAAGTGACAATCATGACTTAGTTTAAAAATACTGGAAGTAATAATAATAATAAAAAAGTGACCCTGTAATTGGAAAGACAGGAAGCTATTGTTAAAAATATTCAGTCACTGCAACTTGACCCTGCTTCCTGGCTTTTGTCACACTGTCGCCTCTGCTATGTTATTTTCACCGTCTTCCTCCCTCGCACCTTCAAAATACTGCTTCTGCTGTATTTCGATGAACAGAGTCTCTTTACTGAAGTATCAACCTTTCATTGTACGCGAATAAAAGACTCAACAGTTTTCTGTAAATATAAACAGTCGAGTCAGAGCAGTTACCTTGACGCTCAGAGGGTATTCCTAGGGCAAACGGCACAAAATCCCACGTGGAGTGACGTCCTCTGCAGGAGATCGATTTCTGTCTGTCTGTATGTCTTGGATGATCATTCTGGCTCTTTTTCAAAACTCCTTTTAATTTCACAGTCTGCTGATGAAAGAGCTCCTGCTCCTGGGTTTGCAGCATGATACATAGATGTAACAATTTTGCCTCCATAACACAATCTCTTTTGCTCTGCTAACTTGGTTCTGAAGAACGGTGAGAAAGTTTACAGATGCAGACAAAGTTGCATCTCTGCCCTCTTTGGAACTCATATTTTGTATTCACTTTTATTTTTTATGAGAAACACGACAGCTATCATCCCTGCCTCACACTTAGCTTCTACAAAAACAAACTATCTATTCTAGTTAAAATATATCAATGTGAAAATATAGAGAATCATTGATGGTTTGAAGGAGATTATGCTTAATCTATAAGAAAGGCAACATGCCTAATCCTAAAGTCTGTCATGTCTCTCACATTTCCTGTGCTTTTCTTTGCTGTCTGCCCTCCGTCAGGTTTCAGACAAAGGAAGAGAGAGGTGTTGTGGGAGTCCAGTAATACTCCGGGGACCTGCCCTCATCTGATGGAGTTCATCCCCTGTGAGGATCCTGCCTGCTACCTGTGGCAAACCCAACAAAAAGGAAAATGCATTCCCACCAACAGCTCCTGTGGTCCTGGAACCGCAGTACAGAATGTGACCTGTGTCGACGCTGAAGGTAATGCTCAGGAACCAGAACATACCTGCTTTGGCCCATTTTAAAATGCTCTGTCTGTTTTTTGATTAAGCTTCCTGCTTACAGCAAAATTTGAAAGATTACTGCATAAATAACGCAATAGAATTGGGATTTCTCCGAAATGCTTCAGTCTACAGTAACTAGCAAAAGTATTTGAATCTTTGAACTGATTTTCACATTTTATGTGGTTTAAAAAGTTTTCCACCTGTCTTACCTCACTAGAGTTCCTGTCTTTACATGTTTGCTGTGTCCTCTGCATTGCTTGTAGCAAACTGCAACCAGAACTTCTTCAGGTTTTCTTTTAACAGTCTTTTTTTCTCCATAAAGGCCATAACTAAGGAGTGCATGACTACTACTTTTCATTTTACCTGGGACGTAGATCACTACAGCTCCTTCTGTGTTACCATGGTTACCAGCCTGTCAGATAAGGAGCATTGTCATGACGTATAGCAGGTTGTATTTGTGACGATGAACAGTGCTCTGCATGGAATATTTTGTAACATTATCCGTGTTTAAATATTCTACACAGCCTTTTCAATTCATGATAAAAACTGTTCATTAATATTTGCTGAAATTCTGAATTTATGTTGAAGTTAAAATAAATGCAGGCGGACTACATTCACTAGTTGGGTGGCTACTGAAGGAATGTAGATTGACTAGATTTTATTTTGGGTGTTGGAGAGTAGACGGGAGGAACACAAAGCCATGCCGCGCTACAGATTTCATAACATTCTCTACTTTTTGCTGGTCCATTAAATACAATGCAAATAAAATCCATTTTGAAATCCTCACGCCATTACAAAGGTGGTAATATGAGCATCACTGAAATGTGTTCCATTATTAATTAGACAGATAAACCTCAGTGACACTGAAGTTAAAGTACATTTCCATTTTTACACAGAAGGTGAGATGATTATTAACCTTACATTTAATATCTCAAACTACACTTTTAACAATGTTCATATTTATCCATATAATTCTTGAGTGTACAGAGTTTATTTTATACAGTCTAGTCATTTCTATTTAAATGAATCCAAGCTACTAAGAACCTGAAACGGCTAATCCTAAAAATTCAAATGAATAAGGAGCTGTAAAATTCATCAAGGTTACAGTGGTGCCAGCAATGCAGTGATGTAGAGAGACCTCACCATCAATTTTATTGTGACGCCTGAACCACCAAGTGTAATGTGATCCATTGTGCTCAGGCGCATCATCAAGGTGGGTGACGGGAACATTACCATTAACGGCGCATGCATTATTCATTATGGACCACTGTCAGCTTTATGGGCACAGAAAACACGGGCCTGATTAAAAGTCAGAATCCCTGCTTCCTACCAGGCATTAATTGCTCATCTCCATTGATTATGGGCCTAATTGGAGCCTTTTTTGTCCATGTTTTATTACTCTGTCACAATGGATCGGGTGTATGTTTGTCATGAATCCAGATGAAAGTCCAAACACATTAGCCATCCTAAGAGCCTAATGAGTTTTGACGGGCCGAGTGAGGAGGGAAGCTTTAGAAATTTGGTGGAAACAGTCTCGGGAGATTATTTAGAGTGGATTCCGTGTTTGTGGCTGAAGAAAGATTGATCTATGCTGTGTTTTTTTATTTTTGATTTTTGTCCTTTGACTGACCATTTGAATTCATTGGCCTACTAACTATTGTCTTAGTTATGTTGCGCACTGTTAGCAATGTTTCTGTTTTATAACAGCTACAGTCAGAAAGAAGGACCCAAACGCTCTGCTGCCTTTGTTAAGAAAATGAATAGCAGTAAACTCATTGAAGAAAAATATAATTAGATAGATTAACTTGGACCGTGATGATTAGTTTGCAGGCATGCAGTCATAACCCACTTTGACCAAGGTCAAGTTTCCGCCTTAGAGAGATGATTCTTTCGACACTTTTTACTATTGTGCTTGAAATATAAATTTCGTAGACCTTGGAGAAAGCAGCTTCTAATTGCCTCTCTGGCTACACATTCAGATTCAACACACTGAAGGTCCTTTTCCCAAGTGTTGCACAAATAAGGATGATGGACACTTTGTCTGTAGAGAGGAAGGCAACGAGGCATTATTGGTCCTGGAAAAATATAAAGAATAAGTAAATTTGAAGGTTTCAAAGACTCTGGAATAATATAATTTCAAGTATTTTTTTAAGGTCAGGGGTTGTTTAAAGCTCCTGCTACTGCTATACCTCTGAGGGATTGAGCCTATCATAAGATGAATAGTTGAAACTAGATATGACAATAACTTTCAGAATTATTCTTCCTCTGTTTCTTATTGTGTGACAGAAAAACTTTTTTTGTTAGAATTTACATATTTATAGGTTGTTGATTAAATTCGAGCAGAATGCTTAAGAAATAAAGAGACTGGAAGCACCAATTATTCCCCTCTCACTGAACTATGCAAAGATTACCGGTTATATCATATTTTTGCTGCATTCTTGATGTGTTTTGTTTGTTAATGACTTTCTATTCTTACTTCATAGAAATTTCACAGTTTAATCAAGAAAGCAATGTTGTGAGAGGCAGAAATATTTTTGACTGACTGCAAGGTTTATACGTGGCATGTATACCCGCAACTTTCTTAGCTTCTGTTAACTTTTTTCTTGCAAAAGGAGAAAGACATAAATGTTACGTGAACAGACTGTTAATACTAACCACGCAAAGACAAAATAATGTGATACTTTATGATGCACCTGCGTATATTTTGGAGCATGATCAATGATGGCAAGCTCATGATGTTCCCTTTTCTTCTAATTGCAAAAGGGACCTGTTGTAGCTTTATTTCAACAATGTCTTTCATATTCTCACTGTTCTGTAAAGGCCATTCTGGATTGCATGGATAATAATTGTACTCTCAATACATTCTGAGGCTGCAGCTCCTCCAGATTTTCAATTGACCTCGTTGCTGCTTCCCTGGGCAAAGCTCTGTCATTTTAGGTGGATGACCGTGTCTTTGTAGGTTTGCAGTTTAACCATCTTGTTGCTTTCAGTTTGAAGTTCTCCAGAAGATGCTCAAACTTTGGGGCTAGCTTGTTTTGGAAACTAATTCCGTTTTTAACCTTTCCACAAGTTTACAGCTGACCCGTCTGCTATGCTTATCGGTGTTCAAGATGCCGTTTGTTCACAGTTTCACTCACAAAATCTCTGAGGCATCGGAGAACAGCTGTGTTTTCACTGAGATTAAAATACACACCGACACAAAACGTGCATGCAACTGGTTGCACTTTTCACGGCGAGTACAAGAGTAAAGGCGGCTGAAAAGTATCGTTGGAACAAAATAAAAGTTTTGCAAAGCACAGTGTGGCCCGGGTAGACAAAAAAACAAAACTGTAAAGTGGGTTGTTCTGAAATTTTGCAGGTGAAGAATTATTTTCTTTCTTTCGATGACATCAGCTTTGCATCAGCAACTATTCAATCACATCCAAAATGTTATCGGCGGAAACCCTGTTGATAGTTCTTACTTTGCGTTATAATTACGCCTTTTCTGGAATTTTTGCATGAATTATTGTGCACAGGGTTTGTACAGCTGCTGCTGATTGCCTGTGTGTGTGTTTGAAGGAAAGGTCAGCAGTAGCGACTGTTTCTTCACGACAGTCTTGTTTACATAATACGTCTCTATTAAAAACCTGTTTCCATGTTGTGTTTTTCCCTAAAGTATTGAGTCAAGTGAAGAATAAATTTGCTTCTGCCGTGAAGCCCATTTGAAACAAGTAAAAGATTAATCCTCTACATAGATCATACTCAGAGGGTAGCATTTGAAGACCTGCAGGCTTCTCTCTATTTTACCTTCCCACATAATGTAAGTTTTTTGTTTGCAGCTTTTCTAGGATAGAACCAGAGAGCTAGACTGCTTTTCAAACCTGTAAAGGTATGAACTTGTCTATGTCTCTGCTTTTGAGGAGCACAGATGCATCACTTCTCAAACGAACTTCAGCTGATGGAGGTCAGAAAACATCTCCCATTACCAAAATGCCAGGTTGTTTTGCTTAGATATGGTAATTCATAGAAATACTCAGGCTGAGATGGAATAAAATGAGTTGTTCAAGGACATTTTACAGTTCAGCTAGAGAGACGTAATGCTAACAGAAGAACTTGCATAACTAAAAAGCATCACACTAAACACCAGCTTGTCAAACTCTAGCTCTCTGGATAAAAAATCATATCATTTGTAATAATAAAATCTTATTTGTATGAAACGATCAACATTTACAACTCCATTTGTACACATAAAAAATTTATATTTGAGAGAAATAACTAAAAAAAAAGATAACATGCTTACTGAAGGATTTTGCTTTACTCAAGAGTTTTGTTGTTTGATTGTTGATATTACAACTGAAGTGTAAAAACCTCAAACGTGTCTAAAAACTGTCTGTGAGATTTTTAGAAGTCAATACAATTCCATTACATTACTTGGTAACTACTTGTCATACAAATGTTTATAGTTTGATTAACAGTAATAACAAAGTGTGATGTCCTTTTGGATCAGTGACAGGCATTCTGCACTAATCGGTATTTTAATGATTTAAAAGGCTGATGTCTGTCTCTGTCAGAATCCCAGCCTGTGTTCTCATGTGTGGCTATTAAAACTGTATAATTTTATGAGCGTATTATTTTGTTGATTCAGTCAGATCAGATCTTTTCCAGTCTTTACAAGAACGTTTAAAGTGAGAGAAATCGCCAACTGTTCCAGCTTTTTCCCCTACTTACATATAGTTTTGGTTGGATTATCACCAGGTCACATTAAAACAGATATTAAACTTCTACAAGCTGTTCTTCATGACAGTGTGAGAATCAGAGAGTAGCGTTCTTCATTAGCTGTCTGAAATTCACCTGATGTTGGAGCAGCAATGTTAAGACTTTTTTGCAGAAACTCTGATTTGAACCAAAAGATTGTCACCAAATAGGAAATCGGAGTCATAAAGATTACTGATCATGGGAGGTAAAGTGGAGGTATGATGTAAAATTGACTTTTTTTTT